TGGCGAGATACCTTTTCACAATGCTTTACTTTTACAAGGTCTCTGCTGCGTTACTTTGACAAGGCCTGAGGCCTATTTCGGGTAAAGGCCCTTTTACTCTCGCCGGCCTAAATTCGAAGTCCTCTGAGGATAATTTACCTATCAAGGATATGAATTCCTCTCTTTACGCTTTCGTATGCAGACACAATATGAGGTGCAGAATCTAACAGCTCTTCTCTTGTAAACCAGCGATCTTCACTAGGATCCTGGTATGCAAACGTCACCTTATACTGTCGCTGTGGTCTGCCTCTACGTCCTGTGTGGTAAGTACTTTCTGCAACAATTTTATCCACGTCATACTTCCCATTCATACTCGGAGGTATCACTGATCGGCGACTTGGGAAGAGCTCATTCGTTACACAAGGTAAGAGCTTGGACGCATGGAACACTGGATATGTACGTAGATGAGGAGGAATTTCAATGACATACGAAGGACCATCCACATCTCCAATTACGTCTAGAACCTGCCAAGGTCCTCTGTAGGTGGGTAGAAGCTTCCGAGAGATGTTCTCTTCAAGAGCAAACTCTTTAGACTTTACCCAAACCAAATCTCCTACAACAAATTGAGACGGGCGCCTATGTTTATTTGGCTGTTCAATCATTTGATGCTGTGCTTCAAGTATATTTTCTTTTACTTTCTCAATGTCTTTCTGATATTGGACTGCAAATTCACTAGTCCCTATAGGAAGCTTATGTACTTGATCCGGGGAACCGATCAATGGGTTCGCGTGGACGCCATCCCAGATGTAACTCCATAGGAGTCTTACATGTAGATAGATGTACAGAGTTATTATAGGCACTGGCAACTTTAGGTAGGTGTTCTTCCCAGTCAATCTGATCGGGACGGATGTACATGCGTAAAGTTCGCTGCAAAATCTTGTTCATCTGCTCAGTCTGGCCATTAGTCTCAGGATGTCTGCCTGATGACATAGTCAACTTAGAGCCATAAACATTCATCAGTTGCTGCCATTGTTCACTCGTGAACCTGGTATCTCTATCACTCACAATAGTTAAGGGATGTCGAAAGTCTTTTACCCAATGGTTAAAGAATTCCCAAATTACCAATTCAGTTTTTGCTTCCGCAGGTAAAGCTATAAAAACAGCATACTTAGTGAATCTATCCACTATGACCATTACTTGCGTTTTCCCATTCCTGCTTTTGACCTTAGTATCCATGAAATCTATAGAGASAGAGTCTCCWGGGCCGGTAGGGATAGGTAAGGGCTTAAGTAGCCCGAGGGGCGATTGCGTGGTGCTTTTGTTTCGTTGGCACACTTGGCAACCCTGCACATACGCGATACAGTCTGCTTTCATTCGAGGCCAGGTGTAGGAATGCAATAAAGTTCCGTAGTTCTTCTTCCATCCAAAATGACCTTTTGTATCATGGCATTCCCCCAAGATCATACTTTTGATCTCTTCATTATTGGGTATACACAGCCTATCATTTACATCAGTTCGTTCAAACAATAGACCCTCTGCTGGCTTTTCTTGCACTAGCTTAATCATGGTTCCATATATAGGATCAGA